TTTAGGGTTAAAAGGGTCCTACAAAAATCAGTGTTCTAAAAAACGCGTCTAGGTATCGGAGATAAGTCATCTAAGAGCGATGCTCGATGAAAATGTCAAGTCAAGTGACTTAACGTCTTATTTAGTTGTCAACAATCGTTGACCGCTAATGAGTGCCTAGGCGCGATTTAATATCTTTTCTTTAAAAAAAAAATTTTTAAATTTTTTTAAGTTAAAACTTAAAAGTTGATTTACATTTGAAACTTATCTTTTTGTTGGAATTTTTTGAAAAAAAAAAAAGTATAAAGTTTCTATAAATTTGTTTTAGATGTTTATTATGCATTATTTTTTGATTGATTAAAAATTAAAATAAGACAATGCCTTTTTACGCTTTTTTAGGCATATGCCTCGTCTAAACTCGGCTGACTCATAGTTTGGTCTCCACGCATTACGCTTTTTAAAATACTAACAAAAATGATCCATCTTTTGATGTCTTCAAAAAGCCATACTAATCTTTGGTTAAAGCACCTCACCCACATTTCGGCTAGTCATATCTTTCACAAGAAGGGAATCCTAACTATTCATGAAGATAATGGATGCATACATCATGTATATAATTTTTATTTTAGTGAACTATCGTTAAATTATTGTAGGGATTATTGTTCTTAATAATTGATATTAGTGAAGAACATGGATGGAAAATAATTATTGAGATCACAAGAGAAAGAGGTAATATTACTATGTAGATTTTAAAGGGTGCAGAAAATAAAATTTATAAATAGCTCATAAACGTACAACAATTTTTATACAAGTATATGCACCACGTAATGTTTCTCACTCCATTTACCGTATAAATTTACATACATATTTTCCATTACCTTGAAAGATTAGACTTGACCGAAGAATAGTATTCTTATGGTGGAGCTTACAAATTATGGTACATATTAATTTGATCTACACAAGATGTTATATCAGAGATCAGACGTATTATTAATTTTGCTGTATAAGTTCCTAAAATTATTATATTACAGAGAACTTAAATCTCTTTAACCAGAATAAGACACTATACTTGAGTCTGCTTATTTAGATGTTATTTTTTAACTTTGTAATTAACACGTTAGTATCTAATTGTGTTTTTTTCAACCAATTTAACGAAAAATCAACAATCTTAAGAAAATTCAAGCATTTGAAGAAGCAATAAAGTAAGACATTTTTCCTATGCATATGGTGATCGACTCATCGAATTTCCACTAAGATAAGATCTTGACAAAGAAAAAGCACTTTTCCCTAAGAAAATTGGTGCAGGTTGATTTTTTTTTTTTTTCTTTGCATACAAAGGGTTTCTTGGAAAGCATTATTTTACTTTGAGTTGTAATGTGTTAACTCTCATCATTTTCCTTTTGAATAAATCGAATTAAGATAGTCCACTGAAAGTAAGAAATTTATGTTTGACGAAATGATAATATCTGCTTTGTAGTATATTCATCTTACTCAATTTTCCATTGAAATTTAGCACTTTGAGAAAAAGTCTATTGGTATGATAATTTATTGTACAATTTATAGCCATCATTTGCTTTTTGACCAAATAAGTGATAAAATTGAATGGATAGTGAATGGCTCATGACTGAACATAGTCTGATCCGATTCGATTATAAGGAGAATCAATAGAAACCGATGATATTTAGTAAATAAAATCGCCGGGGTCCAAATTTAATTATGAAATCGTTCGGTTCGATTCCGTTCGGTTCGATTCCATTTAGTTCTCAGACTCCGTACAATAATTAATTTTTTTATATTTACAATAACGTTACATTAATTCAACTAATAACATATTCAATTTTATCTCTTACAAAATAATGTAGTCCAATTCCATGATATCTTTTGCGCTTCTCTTTGTTGAGTTCTCCATAAATTTGGCTGTTAAAATCACATGAAGATAGTGAACTCACAATAATAAAAAAAGACTTCCAATTCGATTTTGCTAGACAGAAATGGCACTGTGGTAGAATAAGATATTTGGATAAAATTTAGGTCAATTTAATTGAACGGATTTGGACTGAAAATTAGAAATAGGAAAATCATATTTTGGATTTGGGCTAAATTAATTAATTAGAAAATTTATTTTTTTAAAAATAATTTGACTTATTTAAGATTTAAAAAAAAATTAGAGATATTTGATTTTTCGATTCTTGATCTAGAATTGAGAACCGAACATTACCCATCAGTTCTCGTTTTAGATACTCGTTCGGATATTTAATTTTAAAAGAACCGCTCGATTCAGTTCGGTCATATCAGTTCAAGATTTTTGTCCAATCCTAGCTCCTAAGGTTCTTGCCAAGTTTGCTTATTTTTCTTAAAGATATTTGTCAATATTCTTGATAGATAACATTTGTTTACAAGAATATTCAACTATCCAGTCGAAATCGTCCTAACTCCCAACCGTAAATGCTTATAAATTTTATCTTCAACACGTCCCCCTTTATGTCTAGGTGAAATCTATTTTTTTATAAAATAATAAAATATCTGCTTATAAATGGGTCCTGACATCACAATACAAAGCTTTGTTTACTTAATACCATCATGTAATATAATAGTATAAAAAGTTATAGAAAAGTATATTTATTTGTTTAAATTTCATCTCGAACAATATACATAAGGATAGACATAAATCTTCACTATTTACACCACTCATGGGTAATTATAGTGAATAGTATTATGTACAACATACGTTTTAGCAATTCGAGAAGTTTCTCAATTATTGTTGTTGTGGAAGTGACAACATGATCTTAATGTACATTTGTGGGGGACGATAATACGGGATATTGACAGCCTAAAACCTAAAAGATTAGATGCTAAGAAAGATTTAAACCTGCTTAATCAAGCGTGAATGAGATTGAATTTGACAAATGCATTTACATTACTGGACAAAGCCCGACATCACCTTTATTTACCATTTACTTTGCACTTCCAATAATCCCAGGAAAAATTAGGGCATGTTCTCTTTACCATTTTCCACTCGTTTTATGTTTTCGATTTTCAAACACAGTGAAAACGCGTTCTCCTTCTTATTTTCGAAAACGCATTTTTGAAAACAAGTTAAAATTTTACAAAGAAAACCCAAAATGACAAATTTGTCGTTTTTGGTGTTTTCAGTTATAATCAAACCAAAATTTTCAAAACGTGTTTTGGGTGTTTTCAAAATGTCAAAAAGAATATATTTTCAACAATCTCAGAATGGACACTCAAAACACAAAACTCCAAATGAATTCAAAGCTCAAAACACAAAACCGAAACACAAAGAGAACAGCCTCTTAGTGTTTTTCATTCTCAAAGGAGACTTTCGAGGCATAACATCGAGTGGTTTCTCTAAGGTGTATACATCCAATAATTCATGTATCTACTTTTTAATTTACTATACTTTTCTTACTTGTATCTATGTAGAAAAACTCAACAAAACAATAATTATTAAATTTGTCACATCTTCTAATTTAATTGACCAAACATGCCCTCAACTCTATACAAAATATAAAGTTATATGAAGGAAACAAATAAAAAGAGTTAACTCGTTCATTATGCTCCAAGAATTACGAACAAACTTTATAGGCTAATAAAGAGTACATTAAAAATATTTTAATCATTATTTCTACTTTCGCTTCACTACTATCCTTTTGCGTCGAATATAACTTTTTTGTTGAATAAATCACAGATATTGCAAATTACCTAAATAAATCGAAAAATAAATAACTCCGGTTATAGGACCAGTAGTATGAATCACAATTAAAAAATAAAAAAAGAAAAAAAACAAGTACATAAAAAGCATCATTCAAATGGGAAAATGTCATATCCACTATTTTTTTTTTTTTTTTCCGCATGAGGACACTCCACTCATCAAAATTCTTTGTCGATTACCTTTCTTTTGTTTTATGTATACATTCTATTCGAAACAGTTTCGACCAATATCTATTATGGGTTGGTATTTCCGTCCCAAACACTTATTTCCAATTTTCAAGAGGTTTTGACGATAAATGCGCACCATTAGGACATACAGAGAAAACGTGTAATAAAATTTATTAAATGTACTGTCCAATTCAACGAGACAAACAAACTATTAGAATCGTATAGCAACCTCAAAACTTTCATCACTACTAAGCTTTTAGGTTTAAGCTATAAATAGCATGTACAAGGGGTATGCTGAAAATTACAAACCGACACGAGTGGCAATGCTAATGGATTATCAGTAAACTTCTCACAATAAAACTACACCAGATGGAACCTATATTTTTGCCCAGTTACAGCCACACATGACAGGATCCACAGGTAGTTAAAACAAATAGTGACACTCTAATTTAGTGACCAACACACCAACCCACATCTTTTGGAATAGACAATGGGATCCATTTTTTTGTAGAGTGGTGGTTTGGTAACAAACAATTTAGCCCATGAATTGATATTGGTACACGACAAAATGGTCACGATTGGATAAAAAGATGAAAAATTATCTAGCTGTCTCTCATCCTTAATCATATCTATTCAAGTCAAATCAAGCGTATTGTACACAAAGTTGACTTCATAGTTATGAACTCCGCAAGTACGTAGTTCCCTTAAATGTTTATTTAAACTAGCTTTCAGTTTTTTTCTTCTTTAATACTATCTCGTCTATTCAATTTAATGAATAATTAGCAGCGATACAAAATTATCCTTCAGAGCTATTTGAGTACGACTGTACCAGCAGACACCTTTAAAATTCAGCAGACGATGACAACAATAATAGAGGATATCCCAAATTGCCAATTCTTATTCATGAAAAGCAATTATTATACAAATGAATATGTGAGTGTACCAAGAGAAAATCCCAACAGCAAGGAAAGAACTTGCATTGTTAATGTCTTATTTGACAACTTATTTTTCTTAAGTGGAAAGGAAGATCATTTGCATTTCATATATTTTGGAAGTCCGTCATCATTTTAATCTATGAGAAGAGATGCATGGTTTACTTGTCTTTTGGTGTGAATAGAGGATCATCAAGCTCGTTTTGTACGCTTCCCAACTTCAAGTGCCAGCTCTGTGTCGATTTTCAGGGAAATGTCGAGTGCTTTCACAGAATGGGTCAGAGCACCACTGCAAACATGGAAACATTACAAAGTGATTACAACATGAAACCATGGTGAAGCGACTGTGATTATATTCACTAGCAAAATACAATTAATTTGGAAGGCACTATTCTCGTAGGAAATAAGGTTTCCGATATTGCAGCATGGTTAACATTTGAATTATAAAGAATATTTCTAATTAGATGCCTAACAATGTACGTGACCAATGGTTCTTTATTGCATTGTCAATGCATTGTGTGATAATTATCTAGCGATTTAGCCATTAATAAACGGGTTAGGTTAGCTTTGGGCAGGTGCACTGAAATTAGATCTTCCCACCAATTAAAAATATATTTACATAAAAGGCTAAAAAAGAGAGCAAAGGGGGAACTGTTTAACCAGTGTAGTTCTACAGTTCTTTGTTTAACTCAAGCGTGGATTGAACCAGTCGGTTCTTGGTTTAAAACATTTTTACATCTTTTCTTATATGAACCAAACTAAACCAGCCAGTCAGGTATGTGAACTATTTGGCATTTTGCCTAACGTTATAACAAGAAGATAAAAATAAAGGGAAAGTGTGTAACTATATTACCTAGAAATGTAGGTCACCCCGGATTGTCCAATCTTGTTTACAGTGTCAAGAGTAACATTTCCAGATGCCTGCACCAAAAGAAGCAATAAAACACATGCTAGAACACAGGTCACACAATCTTAAAAGGCCATGAAACTGGTAGCAACTAAGACCTCACTGCATCCTATGGATAATATCAACAGTTGCTTGAGAAGCAAAGAAAAGAACAATGACGGGGAAGAGATGAGGTGGCATTCGTAGGGCTACAGGTGAACCAAACTATTCATAACAGCTTCCATTTCAATCATCTTAAGCTCATTCAAACCGTAAACCCCTAAAGAACCAAACTATTCATAACAGCTTCCATTTTAATCATCTTAAGCTCATTCAAACGTAAACCCCTAAAGAACTCGCACAGAACTTTTTTTAACTGTTGCAGAAGTAACCCCCTGTCCTGAAATCATTTGTTATATTTGTAATGCATCCATGTTCAATGCCTCATTTGGTAACCAAAGTTTGACCATCTTCAACTCCCAGAAGATAGATGTAAAACAATCTCATCCTTATAAAAGAATACTGTGCAGCCCAAGAGAATTTTTACAATTAAAAGGGGTACCATCTGAATGCAAATATCCCTCAGAATTTTTTGAAAAGAACTTACCTCCGTTTTTTTTTTTTTTTTTTTTGTTTCGAACGAAAGAAAAGGTCCTGTATTTAATTAAATCAACCTCAAATGAAAATTCTACTTCAATTCTTATAGACGAGAACTACCTGCCATGTAAAAGTACCATAAGCTTACAAAAAATCTTCATCTGATTATTCTAGTTCTATTCATTCATGTAATTGATCAGTTTGTCCAGTCTTCTTCCAAAGGTCATTTACAATCATATATTGTGAATTATTCTTTGGCTCAAAAAATACTGATCCCTCTTAACAAGGAACCAATTTTTAGTTATAGGTGTGGCCTTAGTAGCTGAAGGCCTGCAAACCTCTCCAGCTGCCCACTCCAAGAAATCTCTTCCACAGCATCCATCGCCGCTGCTCTGGTGATTGGCCATACAAAGTGTTCTAAAAGGTGTAAAGCGTGTCTAGGCGGCAAGGCCAAGCTTCATGCCTAGCCGAGTTTTTTAGAACATAGACACGAACTTGTGCAGTACACTTTATGTCAGTTTGTATTGTAAAGATTATCCAAAGGCATTGGATTGCACTCACCAGTCTCTTTCTGATGATGATGACTTGATGAGACGGAGAGTGTGGTGATCAACTTTCCCCATCCTAAATTTCTACAAGCCAGACTTAAGAGTGTTGTGAGAATGTGGTTAGCTCAAGAGGTAAAGTTTGTTGGGCCACCAGATTGCACCTTTTCCAAAGGAATTATTGATTCTTTAGACTCTGTCCAACAGAAGCATAGAATCTTATACAACGTTGGCAATAAAAAAAATATTATATCTAAAAATTGGTGCCCTCATACTTTTTATCTCTGCTGGTGATTAGGAGTGACATCAATACTTGGTTCAAAGGAAAGATCACCCCTAGGTGAGATGATTCTATTTTGGATGATTTGCACATTTGCTTATCGTCATAGAGTCAGTATCGATATTTGATCAGGAAGAAAGATCGTCATCATTGAGTAAGAAGTTGCGCATACTCTACCTCGTCGGAGTCGAGTTCTCTCAATCGTGAAGAAATGATGGGGAATCAATATAAGAATAATAGATATCCTTGGTAAAAATACAAATAGTTAATTTAGGTTAGCTTATATTAGTTTATTATAGTTTTCTAGTTTGACTTAAATTAGATTTATATCCTTAAATGTTTTCCCACCTAAATTAGATTAGTTTAAACCCCATATAAAGAGGATCCTTGCATTGTAATACTTAGACTTGATTATTGAATAAACTCATATTTCTCCCTTTAATTCTTAGAATTCTCTCCCCTTTCTTTCTCAAGTCTCATTCTTGTTCAATTCCACTCTGTCACCATCTTTTTCATAATTACGCAGACTCGTCTATTGCAAACATGCAAATAGAAAAAATTTCAACAAATCCATGTCAGACTGAGGAATGGAGATACTACAAAAGTTCATAAGCTGAGGACCACATAAGTGAGTATTAGATAGAGAAAGATGACTTTTACAGAGTCTTGCAATTTAGAAAGTAAAGAAACGAAAATAAAATTAGGAATTACCTCAGTCTCAAATCTCCCATTAATCAACTCTACAGCTTCTTTAAGCATTGATACATCAACATCCCCATTAGACAACGGAACAACCATATTGTCCAGCATTATCCTAGTTATAGATGTTTCCGTTTGAGATGCATAATGCAATACCTCATTTACTTCTTGGAGTGTCCTGGTTTCAATCTGTAAGCAGACAAAAATTGTTCAACTACTAAATTACACAACTAATCTTAACATATGCAGTAGTAGACACAGGAATGTAGTTGGAAGGGCTAACCATGCACTTTTTAAGTTATTGAAATTAACCTAGCACCTGAAGAATTCGCAATCTCAAAAAAATTTATCTACAGATTCTGCAATTATCATCCACTATATTTATACCTCAAACCACTTCTAGCATGGATAAAAAAATTATAAACTTCATCCCAATTTTCTGTAACAACTTAGTGTTGACCAGTAATGCTATTGCCACGACTTAGTTAAATTTTTATGTAACATTTAAATAATTCTAAACTAAGTAATCATCATAACGTTTTATCATATCAAAATAATGAAAAGTAATAAATATTATGATTAATAGATTATATCAGTTTGACTTTGTACTGAAGCCAATATCTCCCTAATAATAGAGAGGAGGGAGTAACTAAATAAAATAGTAAATAAGAATACGAAAATGCTTATCTTATCATGCTGATGTGAGTACAGTCAGATCACGAATCTGGCACAAATGATGAAATGCAAAGAAAAAATAGCACATATGTGCACACGTGTGCACGCATGTGTTTGCCCACAAACACGGAGCTCTTATCCCAAGTTATATTCTTGGGAGTTAATTAGAATCAATTGATTGCCATTCATAATTAATTGCAGAATAACTAAAGACACTAGAATGTTGATGAACCACACAATTTAGTAAATAGTAAGTTTTTGGTTTAACAATCAAGAATTATAATTAGTAAACCTAAAAAGCTAACACTCTACCTCAACACCCATTTTAAGATTATTTTGCTCCAAATAGAGGTCCACCGATTTCAGGGCATTTGTGATACCTCCAGCAATAGATATATGATTGTCTTTTATCATGACCATATCAAATAAACCCATTCTGTGATTCTGACCTCCACCTATTAAGACCTGTAAACATTGATGGGAAAAGTCAAACTTAACAGAACAAGTGGGAAATGATGATATCATAATATGGAGTTAGAGTGAGATCAGAGCACTACACCGCCCATTTATCCACCAAACGTAAACCTGGAGCAGTTTTCCTCGTCTCTAAAATGTAAGCAGGTTGTGCAGCACCTGCCATAGCCTGCAAGAAATTTGAACATTGCAGTTCCCTTAATGCATAAAATCACCTATCATATACGAAAAGCCATCTTTAATATAGAATTAACCAAATTATTTTCAGCATCTTTAATGTGGTTTCAGTATGAAATAATGATTCAAAATCTCATATTACTAATCAACATTTTCCAATACAACTAAATATAATCAAGCCAACATCTAGTATTACTGTGTTTAACTAGGTGAATCTTGTCGTCAAATGTAATTCTACCAAAAATTTCAGGAATGTGCTTCAGACCTCTTTAGGAAATGAAAAACTGAAAGTTATATAAAATATAAATTGATTTAAAATGCCATTTGAAAACAACTAAGAAGTGCTTAATCTGTGGATGTTCAGAAGTTTCCATGTGAACATGTTCCCACAGCAGGTTACCTCTTTTAATTTGTAAAATTCAAATAGCAGCTTTACATGAAAAGAAACTAGACTTCTATTGAGAAGTCTATGAGAATGTATTACTCAAACTTTCAGATCAGCAAGTGGCTTATGAGATGCACGCTACTATAAAATTATGGAAGAGATTAACCAGTAGTTTTGTGTCTAAAAATAATGGATCTGAAAAATCCCTTATTAATTTTTAATGAAATTCACTATATTTGGAGGAGGATGACTGATTATCTAATAATAAAATTTGGTAATTATCCGTACATTTATGAGACTGGTTAGCAATGAAATTAGTAGTTTCCACATACCACTATTAGAATCAGCGTGCAGTCCTCTTTGGAGCTGAGGGCATTCAAACTTAATCTTTTCAAGGCTATGCCGGATACAAAATATATCCACACACATTTTCCTAATGGGTCAGTTACAGCACTAAATTTCTGATGCTACAGAGGAATTGGTGCATGCTGCAGAGTCTCAATATGTATTATTTTTGGTTCGTAAGATGTGAAACAGAAGAAACTGGCTACTTGTCCCCCTGAGAGTTCAAAGTATGGGTTTCTCGGGAGTGACGTCTCACCAGGTCCTGAAATGATACAGCATGAACCCCATAGCAACACAAATGTGAAGCCTATACAAATAAATATTATAATTGTAGAACCTCATCTAAAAGCTTATGTTATTAATTAGAACGGTCATTCATTTATTTATTTAAATGTAATATTTAACAAGCCCTCGTGTGCACGCCGGATTCATTTTTTAGCAAAAACCTAACAGATCACTATTAATGGGTGGAAACGAGACTTGAACTTAATACCTTTGCCTACTATTATATCACGTTGAATGAGCTCATGTAAAAATTTAATTCTTCACTCACATACGCATTTATTCATTTAAATTTAATATTCAACAGCAATATTGTAATTGCCTTAGCTGTGTAATATGCCTCAATTTAAAAGGGAGCTACAAGCATTAGAAATTATTTCCTTCTCTTGATTAAGGAGAGTAACACTCTATTTAAAGGAAGAAAACCAAACAACCTAGGTTATAACATATACGGTAATCCTACATGATAAACTACAAAAGTTAAAACAGTCATAAGAATGTTACAAAAGATATAGGAATTAAAATCAGACCCATTTGGGAAAATATATGAACTAATTTTAATCATTAACAAATTGATCAGCGGTCATATTTGATTCCTGTTTGCTTTAGTACACGCGGTAAGATTCTCAGTATGAATTCGAAAATTTCAATACTTCCCCTCAACTTGGATCATAATTATTTAATGTACCTACCTTGCTTATCAATTCTTAGTACTATTTCGGTAAGCCCTTGTTAAAATGTCTGTAAATTTATCTTTCTGTGAAGACAGAGCATATAAACTTGGTTGTTATCTGTTCCTATGAAACGCGTATCTATCTCCAAATGTTTTGTCACGTTGAAATGGTGTCACAAGCGATGTTGTTGATACCTTTCATCACATAGAGTGTAACCAGATTGTTGTTGTTCAATACGAGTTCTTTTGTTAAAACGTTTTCGCTACACAAGTTCTCTCCCCTATACCATCTATCTAAATTTGCTTCAGCCCTTGACCTTGTCACTAAATGTTTATTACTCTTCCAAGTTCTTAGAAAGCGTCAACATATGGATCTTCCATCACTTATTCAACCAGCCAAGTAAGCATATGATATGCTCTATCTCAAAGTGATTGTTTTTCACAAAAAGAAGCCATTTACCCATACTACACTTAGGGAATCTCAAGATCTGACCACTGCATTCGTGTGATCCTCATTGGCAGCATTTGTTGGTGCATCCCCTAGTTGACTAGATCAATAACACGCTCTCTTTGTGACCAAAAAATCTCATGTTTTGTCTTGCCAATCTCCTTAATAAAGTATCTCAACTTTCTAGAGTTTTACATCTCAAATTCGATGTCAAGAGATCACTTTAGTTTCTCCGTATCAGCAACATTATTCTGAGTTAAACATGATATCATTGCCACAGACAATCATAACAATGACTATACCTCTACCAGTACGCTTATAGAACTTGGTGTGATCAATATGACTTTGAAGATATCCCATAATTTGAACAAGCATCGTAAACCTTCCAAACCAACCCTATGGTAATAGTTTCAAGCCATGAATGTATTCACTTTCCTTAGTATTCTGCTTCAAATCTTGATAGTGGCAACTTTCATTCTTCCTCCTATAGCTCTACATGTAAAAAGGCATTATTGCATAACAACCCATAGAAATTTTAATTCCTTTTTGATTTGGACCGTTTTGTGTAATTTATAAGATTCTTCTTCATAATGCAAGATCAACATCAAGGTGAACGCATAGCTTCAGCACCTTCATGATTGTTCTTGCCATAGACAAGATCTTCATTAACCCCAATTCACCAACAAAACACCTAGCATGCGTTTGTACATTTACTGTCCCCAACAGGAAGACTTGGAATTGTCTCTCATGGCCCCAGTCTGCTAGTGTATGATGATCCAAAATAATCATCCAAAACTCGGGCATACACACAGTTACACACAGGAATGCATGATTAATTTTCATAAGAAATATTAATCATGCTCATTTATCATGAAGACAGCCAAAAAGAATTATTCAATAGTTCAACAAATTAACTAGTAAATCAATGAATTTCAATTAACTACTCTATAAATAATAGAAAAACATAGAGATGAACACACCTTAGTTAGAGTAGCTATTCCACTCATTCTCTGCATAAAGTTAAGTACAACCCTTTCAGCTACAACAATACTGTGGGCTCTTCCTGCATACTTTTAGAATGAGTTAAAAGACAACCGAATTTTCAGTTAAAGATATAAAAACTTCAACTCCATAAACAGATTTTCCTTTTACCGTGTACTTTACCAAATTGGAAGCCTTTATGTACACTATCCCCATCTTTTCTGTACCACTCAACCTGATATCAATATACACAAACAATTAAAATTACAATTAACTTTACTTTTTCTTTAAATTGCTGTCACAGTGAGGTTGATAAGTGAGTGAAACTTTGAGCAATCATTTCAATCCCATCCTCCTTTGCTACATAATGCAAACTGTATACCTTCAGGGAAGGATCAACCTCGCCAAACACCATTTCCGCAAGTGCAATTCCAGCCACAATCCCATCCTCCTTTGCCAAGAAATGGGCTTCCACTTCCATTTCAGCCGGAATGGTTGCCTTACAGGTCACATCCCCTACATTTTTAATCAAACAGAATGTCACTCAGAACTTCGCAATCTTAGATATGCCATTACAATTAACTAATTCCTATCCAGATGCTATATAAATTGACAAGAGTATTCCAATAACCAAACAAAAGAAAACCTTAAAATAAGAAAAGAAAATGCATATGGGAACTTAGCCTTCAGCGAAGAATAATGCTATTTATTATTATGACAATGGAACATCGA